AAAGGCGTGGGCTGTATTGAATACAGGACAACCGTCGCCCGTACGTTTTGAAGAAGTACTAGCAGCTTTTCGGAAAGCTGGTCAGAGTCAACGCTTGGGTGTGCTCATTGAAGATCTGCAGAATGTGAACTGCCTTCCACAGTGAGAATGACCATACCGACCACGAGCGAATTTGCCTTCTGCAGAGCAAGCGCAAGGGCAGAGCTCGAACGCAGTCTGCTCCGTCTGCCAGAGCGGGTGCTGAAGCGGTTGGAGAGGCATCTGCCAACAACAAGCCCAAGGTCGAGTTTGTCTCTGCTTTTGGAGGGGTTAATTACGCCGACCTCAGATGTCCCGAGCACCACCTCAGGAAAAACAGATGCCCAGTCACAACGGAGGACTGGGAACCTGCTGCTGACAGCTCCCAGTCGAAGATTCACTCCCTCCCGCAACAATTTTGGACTCCTGAAAGCGCTGCGGCCCACTTAGCAGCTGAAGCCTCGCGTTGGAACCGTGCTGAAGCGCACGAATATTTTGCGCAGTATTCATGTGGGTAGCGCATGCTTGCCCGAAGCTTGTTAAATCATGCCTTCTATGCACGAGCAAGATCGAGCGAGTGAGAAAGCAGCAGTTGCCCGCATCTTCGGATTTGTTTATGCAAGCAGGCAAGAAACCTGCAAAGACGACTTCCAGCCTCGGCAGGCCGTGCACATTGCTTCTGGTGAGCTCGATGCAGCGGGAGACTCTGCCTTGCATCTGGAAGCTTGCCTGCAACTGGCCTTGACCTTGCTACCAGACAGATGCTTCAAGCAATACTTGCTAGCGCTGAGCCAGGCGGTGACTGGCGGGCATCTCGTGTTCACGCAGGACGTGAAGAGATGAATGAAGACGCTAGACTTCTTTGATCATGATGCAGGAGCTATTGGCTGCCTCGTGCGAGGCGCATGTTGCGAAATGCTTGGGTCTGTCTCGTACAGTATCAAGAAGCGTGCTTGCGGCTGCCAGTTTGGTCGTGCTTCTCTGTAGTGGCAGTAGCAGTCGTGACGGTTTCGTTGGAAATGCCATGATGGTCATCGCACGTCGTCACAAAGTGGCACATCGCTTTCACATGCTTGTAACCCTTTTTTAGTGCTATTGTTGTCCCTTGCTTGCTTTCGCCTGTCCATGAGCAACACAGATGTTTCATCATGACCCGTGGCTGCTATCTGCTAGTCATCAGAGTCATGAGTGTCTCATGTGTACTGTGGTGTTGCTTCGCAGCTTGATGTGCAAGGGTCCTTGGGGCTCCAAGCAACTCAAGGGAACAGAAAGCAGCCTACACCCATTCGTCAAGGACCAAAACTTGTGCATGAGACCTTGAGGTGCAAGCCCGTGACCATCGCGGACGAACGCCCTTGCATGCGGGATTCCCGACAGATCGCAAGCCATGGTTGCTACCAATCTATTCTTTGGTAAGGTGGCTGCCATGGAAGGGAGCCCAGAGCTGGCCACCTGTCCTTCAATACATCTATGCAATCAGAATCTTCTGGGTTGCTTGCATTGTGCATCAGGCTCTGGAACTCATGACTGCCGGCGCTGATGCCAACGACAGGGATGAGTGGAATCAAACTGCCGAACTCACAGAATGATTTTGAGTCTTTGCCTTCTCAGCACACATTTTATACGAGTGTTTTAAGCTCCAAAGAGCATTGAAGAGCACGGTTACAGCACCCCCAGGCATTGCATTGGGCTTCCATGGCGCATTCACCCGATCTGGTGTCAGACCTAGCTGCTTGCAGCTTGCACTTCCATTGTAGCTTCGCTGGCTTCTTGATTCTCATGCATCTTGCAAGCTGCAAAAGGTTTCAGTGCTGCTGGATGGCTGCTTGGCAGCCTCACATGGGTCTTGTCTGTGGCTTGACACCCTGAGGCTGCTTTGCACAGAGGCGTCCTCCAAGGCACTATGCGCCAAATCACTACGATCTTATTGAAATTACCACATGCAGGAGACGTGTAAGAGAGAGGAGGAAAACCAAAACGACCAATCCTATGAACCCATTAACCTTATAGACCCCAAGCTATCTCTGAGTGCACCCCGGGCAACCCCTCAAAACGAGCCGTCAATCAGCCTGCAGCTGTCAAGTTTCCGGGTTCAGCAGTTGTGTCCGGGTTGAGGTGGTGCAGATCCTTTGCTTCGCGATAGCCGATGCCTCAGATTTGGCTGTGATGCTTAAGATTTACACCAACCTCATAGCAATCAGTGCGATTCAGTCAATGTGCAATGCCAAATTCCCCATTTGGAGCAAAGCCTTCATTTTTGAAGCAGGCTTTGGCAGGACAGCTGCCTTCATGGCTGCGGAGCCCGGAGCTCGTGTTTGGTCACTGGGCATCATGAGTTTACGTAGGCCCTTCACACTGCAGGCAAGGCAAGCTGGAGCACTTGCAACTGTTGCTCGGAAAGGCTGGCTGCAGTGTCTGAGTGGTCTGGCTGCCCGACAGTCAGCCGTAAAGGCACCTAGCGCGGCTACAATTCCGAACAACGAGTGTTGCGCCCCCGGGAGGGCCAAGGGGGTCATTGCCAGCAGTATTGATTCGATACCTCCACCAAGATTGGACCCCGCTACATGTGGCTTCATTTGGGCTGCAGACCGTCAAGTCGTGGCCTCAATTTCTTGGCTGTGAAGTACATGTCATTACAGTGCAGTCAGGAACTTCACAAAGCCTTTGAAGTTTTTGGAATCGGTCAAGATGCTACTGGCCAACAAGGCAGGAGCCACAAGAGTTTTGTCTCAGTATTTTTGGTCTTTCATTTTTGCGGGTCCTTTCAGAACAGGAACCTGCCACTCTGACGTAATGAGGAGGGCCGTATTTAGCGACTTGAGAAATAGTTGTGCAAGGCAGACGCTGCAGGGAAGATGACCACAATTTGTCGAATCTGCGGGGTTTGTGAAGCTGAGCGGCACAGTCATTGACAGGAAACAAAATCTTTTGTAGTGAATGCTGAAGACGGTCATGGGCCTTGGCTGGTGCGCAGCCACTGTTGCTGCCTGTTGCTCAAAAGTCTTTGTGGGCTTATAGAGCCTTCCAGCTTTCAATTTGAGGTTTGCCTTGCGTCCTCGGGGCTTTCTGACTCATCGTGCTCCGTGCTCACTTTGCAGTCGTGAACACACCGGGGATGTCCTTTGCTCTCGTAACTTCAGTGCCTGGCCTTTGTCTAACCACTAGTGGCAAAGACGAGCAAGACAGCCTTGTCTGCAGGCTGAAGTCGATGCGAAGGAGCGTGTTGTACTCCTAGGGACAGCGCTTCACATATCACATCATGGCAGGATGAAAACTGCCGCACAGCGCTGCACAGAGCTGCTCAAGCAGGAATCAGTGCAGAACGTGCAGCAGGCAGAGCCTGCAGAGTCATCCACGCGACCAGGAAGCTGTGAGCAACTTGAAGCTCTCCTCGCGGCTGGTGCGAACGTACTCAGTGCAGCGTTGCCGTCATGTATTCTATTGGATATCTCAAGCGTGCGGATGCTGTCCGCTGCTCCGCAGTATTGCATGGGTTGGTGAGCAAGCCTTGTTCCGAGGAACCATGATGTCAGCAGAGAAAAAGCTTAGAAGGCCTATTGTTCGATTGTCTGCGTGATCACGGCAGAAGCCTGTTAATGCCGTCTCAGTCGTGCATCTGGCACGAATTCTTCTCACATCTCTTTGAAGCATTTTGCAACATGTCGTGCCCAGCTGCAGCATTTGCAGAAGTTTCACTGGTGGTGCTTGTTGAGTGCCAGGACGAATGCAGATGGACCCCGCTTCACTATGCCAGCCAGGCAATGTGTGTATGAATTCAACATCTACCGCTCCACTGAACAGTCAACTGCTACCAGTGTGCCCGAAGCTGTCGGAAGTAGGAATGTTACGGCCTTAGCCTTCCCTGCAGTTTCCCACACTCGGGGCCTTAATAAAATTTGCATATGCTCTAATTGCCACTCTTGTGCTGGTTAGGAAGGCCACATCCGAATCGCGAAGCTTCTGCTCAATGCTAAGGCAGGTTTGGCCCAACCGCTAGGCAGCGATCGACATGCAGGATATTGTAGCAGAATGCAATGTGGAGAGGTTTCAGGGCCAACAAACATAGGTCAAGTAGGTCAGCAGCAAGTTTAGTAACGCATTGGAGGCAGACGCAGAGCCCAAGCAGCCAGCTTGTCTGACACCCCTTGCGGTCGCAACTGAGCAGAATCAGGCTGGGAGAGTTCTCTCATAAGTTGTGGTTATCTTCATATGAGACAGGTGAAGATGGTGGAGTTTTTGCTCAAGCACGGCGCAGACCCGCACACACGAGCAAAAGGCAAGCAAACGTGGACAGTGATGGCAAGGAGACGTTGCGAAACCCCGCAAGGCCTGCATTCTCCTCTTATGATGGCTCGGAGTGATCCCAAAAAGTGCGGGGCTTGAGCCGGAAAGGCAAAACATGTCAAAACAAGGTCTTCGACGCTGCTGCCAGGTATTCTGACATACTTGCGCTCCTTGAGCTAGGCTTCATTCACTGAATTTGCCTGGGCAAACTCGGCCGTCTCACCGATCGAAATCAGCCAAACTTGCTGCGCAACACGCGCGAGCATGAATAGCAGTGCATGTATAACATGTCACTGAGCTGAAGGCCGGCCGTTAGTTGCCCGTCGTGGGCATTCAGCATTGTCCTGCCTACATGCTTGCCTGAAAAACTGGCAAGCTTGGCAAAAGCACCAGCCAAAACAGACATTTCAGATCCGCTCCTGGAAGTGCACCTGCGAAGCCGCGATTCCGGACCTCCCACACCAAATTTATGTCATTTTTGCATCCCGGCCTGGGCTCAGCAGTTGAATCTATCGGTTCGGGCTCTCGCCCACCACAGCAGCAAGGCTGACCAGTTGGCGCGTGACTTAATATCAACAATACTCAGATCATGCATGCCAGGCATGACGACAAGAGCTGTGAAGAAGCTTGGCTGCATATTGCATGCGAGTATATGATATCAGTCGATCGAGCAATTGTGGCGTCAGGCGAGCATGCCCACCGCCGAGAGCCAAACGTAGTACGTGGATGCTGGCCTCCTGCACAGCGTGCGCTCTGTCTGCTTGCGCTCTGAGCTTGGCTGCGACCGCTGAACGCTGCAAGAAGTTTGGAAGCTTTTCCTTTGCACGTCTGTATAGACTGTTGCTAGGCGATCCTGGTCGTCCATGACCTAAAAATGTTTGTAGCGCCGCAGACGGCCAGGTAGACTTCGTGCTCGTGTTTCCTCACAGCCTTCTGCTCTCATGATGCAGGCCAGCTGAGCTGCTGGACTCCCGACGCCGTGCCCTAATTCTGGGAGGACCGTTCTTGAATCTTCATGAAACTGATGGCTTACCTCTCCCAAGCATGGGTCGATGGCATTTTCTTCAGTTGCTTACTGTCAGGAGTGTCTTTTGCCGCCTTTGAGGCCGGGTAGCGACTTGCTGTCCAATCAGAGAAGAGCAGAATGGAGCGAAGCTTCAGACTCCAAGGATCAGGCTCATGCAGCAAGCTCAGCAGCGGCCAAAATCAAGGAATGCGAGGCCAGGACTGGTGCACGATGAGCTTCCCACAGTTTGCCTATAGGTTTCCTTCCTGCTAGAGTTTGTGTCAGGGCGAGGCCAAAAAGATTGGCGGTGGTTTAGAATCCTCGGCACAAAATCCGCTAGCGATGACTCCGGGGCAGCGTGCACCTGAGGATGTCACCGATCTCGCCCGTGTTTTACAATTCAACCAGCCTTGTCCTGAGGGTTGCTGAGCAGCAACAGCGGGGCCCGCCCAAATTGGGAAGCTTCGCAACCTTGGAGGGGCCAGGACCTCGTTCAACATCAAAGTGAAAATCATGCTCCGTACTGCAAGCAGCGAATTTCAAGCAGCCTCGACAAAAGTGGTAGCTGTCTTGGGCTCAGCCTGGCAGGCCATGCTCTCCTGCAGCCCTCCGTGCTGCTGCCTCCATCTGAGTCAATTCTATTCAGAGGAATTGCTAATAACCACCCAGTCACCAGTCGCGTAAAGTCAAGGCTGACAGTTTGGCTGCATCACCTCCCCAGGGCCTCAACCGACAAGTGCGGACCTTGAGGCAAACCCTTGACTCTGAAATGTGCGCCTGACTGCGCATACTCGTTCTTCTTGTTTGTGCTTTCGTCGCTCCTTCTCGAATGGCAACTGCGAGGTGGTGTAGACTCACCAAGAGAGAGACCATAGAATGAATCACTCAGGAACTCCAGCGCTTGGAGGATGCCCCGAAGCGGATTGTGGAGGCCCGCCCGTTCGCTCCCGTTTTGTATTCTTCAAGCGGCCTGACATTTTGTGAAGGGATGTTGCTGGGAGCGACTGGTTTTGCTTGCAAACGAACAAGCTTCATACTTATTGGCCAGGCTCGCGAAGCAATCGCAGAGGCCAATGCGAACAAGCAGGCAGAAGGGATGCATTTGGATCACCGGCAGTTGCACGTCATATTCACACAGACTTTGCTAATGGGGAGATGAAAGCGATTCTGCGCCTCCTGCAGGGCCCTCGACTCTTTGGAGCTGTCAGGAAATATTTGGAAGCGTCGCGATCTCTTCTTGTAGGGAGCTCGTGACCAATTATTTTTAGATAAACATCCTCCTAACGAAGAAAAAGGTACAACATCGGCAGCTGTGCAAAATCATGCTTTCGATAAATATTCAGAACTAGATTGTGGAATTATCATAGAATTATATGGCAAATTGATTTAGGCTTGCAAGACGATCGAGCTGCGACCGATAGAATATAACGTATTGGAATATAATTTATCGAAATTAGAAATGTATATATATTATATGGATAAATCTAGAGGGATAATTTAATTCATTAGAGAAGAAACCGATTTATAGGGAAATTAATATATGGGTTACCAAAAAAAATATATATATGTATATAATATGATAGAAATGCGACATGAGATTCCGGTCTTGCCGCTCTCGTTCTCGATTCTTCATATATTTCAATATTACGGCGCAGCCGCTCGCGCTCATTTCGTTCGCGTGCAACCTAGCTTTTTCGGGCTCATTTTCAAAAAACTTGCTGGGAAAATCTTAGATTTTTGGTGTCGGTTCTGAGATCGGCTTTCTTTCCGGAGCTATTTTCCGTAGGATTTATCTTTCTTTGATTATTTACGCGGCATCTCTAGATACGGGGGCTGGATGGCAGGGTCGTGCGACTTGCAAAGCCTAAGAGATTTCGAAATATTTCTTTATTTTCGATGATTTTCGCGACGGCTCATGCGGAGCCGGGATAGAAATTAAGATTTCAAAATATTTTAGGTTGGTCGTTTTTGATTCAATATATAATTTTTTCTCTGGCCAAGAGGATTTCTTCGAAAATTTTGGTGGCCGGAATAAGAGCGTCTCGACTATACGTTTTAATAGGAGGCGCACTGTCGTAGAATATATGAGATTTTATACATCTATAGAATTTATTTCTTTTTGATTACGAGGCTAATTATTTAGAGGAATATATAGAGCTAGGACGATGAATTAAATTGATTTAGAATTCATAGGCTGACCGTATTTGGTGCTCACGGAGATTTATGAGTGCTGTGTCGAGTCGCCGTGGAGGCGTAAAGAGTAGGTTGGATGCGCGATTTTATTGAATAGAAAATTCTTAAGATTTCGAATATTTTTGTTTTCGATTTTCTATACGATTGCTCGGGAGAGTACGAAGACTGAACCTTCTGTATTCTATGCGGTCTTAAGATATTGATAATTTCTTGGGTAGCACGTACGATTTTTCATATTGATTGGTCGTCAGATTTCTCGTTATAGATTTTCTCAGATAAATATTTGGCGTCGATATAGATAATGAATTCATCATAATATGATGATTTTATATACGATTTTTTTTTTTCGTAATATGAATTCGCTAGAGATTTAATTTCATGATAAATAATAAAGATAGGAATATATTATATACATGATATTGAAGGCATTCTTATCTCATAATATCCCTCTTTCTTCTTCTCTCTATTTTTATTTAGATATATATAATTTCTCTCGCACGTATTTTCTTTATATCCTGATGAATCTAAAGTCATGCAAGAAATCTATCGGATAATCATAGATATATATATTCGTCGAAGATTCAGAAGGATATTAGTCGACAATCCTATATTCTAAGGTCTATGGTAGAATTTTCAATTCTATCGATTTGAGGTTGATCCCATGATTTTATATTTTGGATAGCACCGCCTATTTTGAGATTGATTTCCATGATTTTCTATTTTAAATAATATTCAGAAGAATAATGAAATGATAGAATAACAATACTAATAAAATAATTACGTATATTAAGGATTTATACGAATAAGATTATTTATAATCATTTTAAGAATAATATTATATAGGGCAAATGCTATATGATCGCTATCAATTGATAATTTCTAAAAAATATATTAATTTATGACGACAATATGCTATTTCATTGCGTTGCGCCCAAAATCCTGCCAAATCTAGAACGTATTATATTAAATGGCAACGGAATTTGATAATCTATCTGATTTTTCTATATATTTATTGATAATTCGAAAATGAGATTCAATATTTCGGAACTCTATATATTCTCAAAATATATTAATTCTTTATCTTTATTATCTTATATTTGCGATCTTCAATTCTATCATATAATTGAATCTTGAATTATTTTTTGATAGGCGGACCTAATCAATTATATTTTAAGAAATATAGGAAGATATTATGGCCAGGATCTTCAAAACGCACGCCATTTCAGATATAGAATAATATTATCATATTTCAATATTGAATTCTATATTCTCATATAGCTTATTGAATTCGCCTATTGCGAGACTGATTTGCGCCTTCGGACGGAGCTGAGATGATGAGATATTTGCATATTTTAGAGATCTATTTATATAGGATATAAGAATCAATAATATTCTTCTGATCTTCATTTTCGTTATTCTTGAAAGAAGGAATAATGATAATTATCTATATAGAAATATGACGAATTTTGAGAGATTACGAGAATAATAGAATGAGAAATTATCTCAAGATTCTTAAAATTCAATAAATTGAATAATCAACGAATCAATAGGATATAGAATTGATAAGATAGAGATAATAGAAATTAGATGATTATATCATAGAAAGAAAATCGATTATTAATATCATTAAATATATGATACGATTTATATATGATATGAATATATGAAATCGCTGGTAGATAGGCTATAATATTTACGAATATATTTCAAGATGAAGATTTATTCTAATATTGGAAAGATATTTTCAGATGATTATAGAGGGGTTGATCTTTAGAAAATACGAATTATATACGAAATAATTTATAGATTGATATAATCATCTTCTCAATTGTGCGTTTTATTAGAATTCTATTTTAATAAGAGGAGAATATAATTTGATATTGATATATCGATAGATCTCAATTTTCTTTGTATATTTTACGATATTTCTGCATAGTTATATATAGAATATTTTCTGAAAATTAATATATATCCTGATCTTAAAAGAACGTTTTTGATAATATAACGAATTAATGATGATTCTATTTTCAGATTCGTTGATTTATAAATAGATAGATAATCTTTCTTAGAATATTCTTCAAGGGCAATTTGTGCAAACCGATTCCGAATAGGCGGACGGGTTAATCGTTTTTATCTTCGACGAATCGCGGAAGAGATTTTCAATCTTTGAAATTGAGATCGATCGTGATTTTCTACGAATATTTAAGAGCTGGAATAAATTGGGGAATCCGATATATATATTGACAATAGGGATACGGATTATATGATTAAAAAATCTCGAAATTTTTTGATCGCGCCCTCGGATAAAGATCTCAGAGATTTTAGAATTTATAATTTTTTCCGAGAATCATAAAATCTCATTTTTTTCAATCCCTAGGGAATTCCCAAGAGATATTTAAAAGGAGAATTAGACAAATTAGGCGCGCAAATGATCGTATCATTTTATTGAAATGAATAATTTTCGTTTCAATTATATTTGGAGAATACGTAATTCTAAATTTTTGAGATTAATTGATTTAGATTCTTTCTCCCAAATTATAAGGAATTAAGAATAAGAATATATATATAAATATATGAATATCTTTTTTAAAAATCATTGAAGAAAATAATTCATACCTTTTATCATATATATTTTCAAATTTTCAATCAAAAATATCATTCCTAAGATAATATTGATAATGAGAATGAAAATTCATATATAATGATAATTATTTTGATCTATCTTCCAATTATATTTCGGCATATAAATATTAGAAAAAATAATTCCATAATAGGAATGATAGATAGGAAGATGATATCATCAAATATTAGAAAAATTCTTTTTGATAGATATATAATAAAATAGAGAGATTGAGATAAAATATATATCCTTTAATTTAAATTTATCAATATATGATCGATAATTATCTTCGATAGATAGATCATCAAAATATCAAAGAATTCTAGATGATTTCATAGATAGATAAATAATTTCGAGAAATCATGAGATCAATAATTGATAGGCCGATATACGATCTCCTGGATAATGATAGATCTTCATTTAATAGATTGCTAAAATGACGAATCTTATTTAATAGATAGAATGATAAATTGAAATATCAATTAATAGATAGATCGATTTCAGAGAATGATTAATTCGGACGATAGAACGAGAGATGGAAAGATTCAATAGAATATAGATAATTAGACCGATATATCATAATTTGAAGCGCAGAGTAAAAAGATCATATGATAAGAAATTCAGAGATTTTAGATTAATCGTCTCATTTGATTGAAAATCTTATCTATCTTTCTATTTATCTTACCTGATTATTTTTCTTTTTCTATTGAAGCATCTAATTTTTGAATATCTATCTTTATTTCTTTATATTTCTATATCTATCTAATATCTTTGAATTCATCCTTTATTTATCTCTCTTTCCTCGGAGTTCGAATATTCTTTAGAGGCGAGCTCTTTGAAGGAGAGGACTGGATTACGGGCGGCGGCATTCAGAACTATATATTCGAAGAACGCCCTCTTTCTCCCCCCGTCCTTATATTAGATAATAATATCTTTGAAGATTATTTACGTAGATGATTCGTATCTTTTTCTATAGATCTAGATTTAGATAAGACGAATAATAATCTTTCATATATATAATATTTCTTATTCATCTACAATGATATTTCGATTTAGAATATTGATGACATCTTTTATATTGCTATATTGATCAAGATCATTCGGGCATTATTAGATCGAATGAGATCCTAATTTTTGATTTTTTGTTTTTTTTTTCAAGAATTATTGATCTCATATATCATCTATTTCTATATTATTTCTTCTGACGATATTAGATCCTGATTAGATGAATTTATTATTTTAGATAATTGGATTCTTAGATCTGTTGATTATTTTGAATCTCATATTCTTTTGAGAACTCATATATTGATTATATATTAGATTATTTGATGAATTGATTTTCTTCTGATTGATTATATATATTCTATTATTCTTCATTGAGCCGCCTTTATAATTGATCTATCAATCTCATATATTATCTATATATGCTATATTGTTCATT